ATAATAGAAGAAAAAAAGAAAGCCAAAAAGGACTAGTAATATACTAGAAGAAAAAAAGAAAGAAAGTCAAAAATTATTATTAATATATCAGAAGAAAGTAAGAAAGAAATCCAAAAGAGATTATTAATATACTAGCCGCTTATAAGAAATTAAAGAGATTTTTAATATACTAGCCAGCGACCATCTAGGTAACCTTTCAAAATGATCTTGTTCAGCCTAAACTTTAATGTTAATCAAGCAGAATGCACAGTCCAACTGTATTTAAATATTCTAAATTTTTAGCAACTCCTCCAATTTTAACACCTTAATTAATTTTAAAGTATATATTAACCAAATTTTTTTTTATCTTCGATCTGTTGCCCGCCCTCACGGAAGTACTTTTATTATAATTTCAATTATTTTCAAGAGATGTCCGTGTCAAACTTTTCTATGTAAAGAATTTTAGTAAATCCGTCCCGCCATTAAATCGCATAGGACATTTCAGCATAGTAGCAGGAGAGGTATTAAAATCTCTGTCGAGACATAAGGTAGAAAACTCATCCCGATTCTGTACTACTTCCTCACGCACCTCTCTAGTCGCAATTTAAGAAACGTATAATACATATGTAATTGATCGAAAAAGACTATCTCCGTCAGCGATAATTGATATAACAGTATGCGGCATCATAGCACCTTTTGCGCGTTTATGAAACCGTAGTTGAACAGTCGACCTAATTTTTGGGTTTACCGCTGCTAATGTTCAACTCCGTAGCCTTGTAATTTTGAACCCAATCCAAAAGACAAGGGAACTCCTGGATCGAGTATTGGGAGAAATTTACCTTCAAGGAGGACTTTTTGATGGAACCAACCTGCATTAGCGTTACATGGAGAGGAAGACCACGAGAACCTCCTACGGTTAACCTGACGGCAAGGGGACTGTAACCCATGATCCGTCTACCACTGAGGATATTTCACGTCAGCACTGTGGTCGGTGCAAGTTGGATGTGGAATTCGTATCGACCAGCCATTTACGGGATTTGAACGCGGTTCACCTCATTGGAAGGCGAATGCTCTATCCCTTGAGCCATCACGGTTCGACCTTTCAATTTTTGAAATTTCTATATCTATTTTAGAAAGGATGAAAAATAAATCTAAATAATTACTTCGTAAAAATGCTTTTTTTTCCATAACTATTTACGTCAAATATTTATTTAGAATATAAAAATTATTCTAAAAAATATTGAACACATTATTGCTGAACAAGTGAAAACAGCTGCCTCAAAAAATTCTTAATTTGTCATTTCCAAATCACATATTAAGGCCATTGCACATCTGTAAAAGGGAGCTATAACCTCTGTAGCGCAAAATTAACGGTTGCCACCAGCCCCAAGGCGATTAAATATAGAAAATAATTTTTAAAAATTGTGTTTGTTAATCGCCATTTTTTCCCCCGAAAATGTGCACTATGTTCTAAAACACGTGACTTCAATTTCTCATGTTATTCATTACACGGGAAAACTATAATCATCCCTAGAGAGTATCAGGTTATTTTACTCTGTTTAAAATTTTATTGGAACTGAATTTGATTCTTAAAATATTTCATTAGAGTTCAAGTTAAATTCACATGAATTTTTTAAAACCTGATGCATAGCATTGTAATTTAATTAATATAATTTCATCATTATGATTACAATTATTTCAGATTTATTATGTAAGGTCTGATATAAATCTGTTTATCCTAAAGTTATAATCTAATATAATTTCATTAGTATGATTACAACTATGTCGGATTTATTTTGTAAGGCCTGTTTTTGTAATTCTGTTTATTAGTAAGTTATATTTTAATATATTGAAGAAATTACACTGCGCAAACCAATTGAAAGATATTGAGGTTGAGGGTTAATCTTGCACCTGGACAATTGTTTGAATGTTTGATACATTTTCGACAGACGTAGTAAACTATAAAAATGCGTTTTAGTGAGCATTTGGGTACAAAAGGAAAAAAACAAACACAATTTGTGCATATGAGAGAATCAAACAAACAAAAAAAGGTGTTTCCTTAAAAGAAAATCGTTTTTAGTAAGGGGTATACATTCCCCGGACGGCCAGCAACGTTGAATACCTTTGACACATCAAGTCAATGAGATTATTAATGAAAGGTTGGGGTATTCTGTCCCACTCCTCCAGAAACGTTCTTTCCAGTTCTAGGAGAGTTTGTGGGGGTGGTAGGCTCCCAGCAATTCATCTGCCTAGAATGTTCCAAACATCTTTGATGGGGTTCATGTCCGGAGAATACGCTGGCCAATCCATTCGAATGATTCCTTCCTCCAAAAGAAAATTATTCATAAGTTAGCATATGTGGCCTGAAATTGTCGTCCATTAACATGAAGTCATCTCCAACTGCTGTAGCGTAAGGGGCTACAATAAGTTTCAGAATCTCATTCCTATATCGGTGACTGGTCAGAGCTCCATTTTGAATGGAGTTCGGTGCGCCCATCATTGGATATGCCAGCATAGACCATCATTTCCCCACCGCCAAATCTTATACTTTCGTGTACGAAATCAGGATTGTTTTTAGTGCCACGTTCCCTCCAGATTAAAATACGCTTACTATCAGGATGAACAGAGCTCGTCAGAGAAAATAATATTACGCCATTCATTTCTCCTCCAGTCCACGTGCTCTATCGCCCACTCCCTGCGAACGCGACAGTGTCTTGCTGTTAATGTGACACACACCATTGGTCGGCGAGCATACAGACCTAGAGCGTGAAGGCGTTTTCGGACAGTTTGTGTCGAAACTGTGGTGCCAGTAGCCGAGAGAAGGTGTTGTTGAAAAAGAGTGGCATTTATATTTCGATGTCTCCGAGCCGTTAGCGTTAAATAACGGTTTTTATTGGGCGTTATTGCATGCCTACGCCCTTGCTCAGATCTTCGGCTTGCATTTCCAGTCTCTAAAAAACTATTCCAGATCTTGGAAATCACACATCATTCTTTTCCGCTTTGTCTTACACTTTGTGAAACTCCAATGGCTTCAGCTACTTCGGCTTGTGTTTGGCTCAACCACCAACCGGCCAACAACTCTCCAAGCTTCTGATTCGGTTAAATGACTTCGTTGAGACACCGCACTCATCGAAATAACGCGATAACTGAATGTCGATCATTCTTTTCCGCTTAGTCTAACATTAAGTTGAAAGCTAAATCAAACTCTTTGCCACTAAAGGGTCGTCTTTGACATCGAACTCAAAATTTGCATACTTCAAAGTTTGAAAATAAGAAAAATTTGCATTTGTGACTATCTTCCATTTTATGCATCAACAAAAAATGCTTATACCGTTATTTTATACAAGACTTAAACATCCTTTAATTGTTTTGAGTAGTGTAAATTCTATTATAATTGGTAAAATCATGTTCTAATATAGTTTCCTCATTGTGATTACAATTATTTCAGATTTATTTTGTATGGCCTGTTTATATAAATTTGTTTACTAGAAAATTAAATTTTAATATGATTAAATGAAACTATATTCCAATATAATTAATTAAACTGTATTCTAATATAGTTGAAGAAATTATATTCTTATCAAATTTTATCATTTTGATTAGAATTTGACTTTGTAGCTAATAAACTTTATGCTGTTTATAAACATCAATTCTAGGTTGCATTATGGTTCTATTCAAGCTACAACCCAATTTTAATAGTTGAAAAAATTATATACAATACTTAAGTTTCACATAAACCTTCTTGGAGGGGTTCATTTAAGAAATGAAACTTGCAGTGTTAACCATATTTTGAAAAAAACTTCCAAAGAAATGCTTTATATTAATAATATCAATAGTTTTTAAGACCACATGCTTACGAAAGTGACCGCTAATAAAAATGCGACTGGTCGGAAATAAAATCGTCTTAATTTTTTTTGTTGCTATAAACCCACAATTAACCTTTTTTTTCGATTCTGTGATCACTATAGCTCAAAATTTGATGACACGATTTTTTTTGTTGCGTTTTGGCTATTTGTTTCGCTTTTAGGGCATTTTTTCACATGGACCTTTTGGAACGTTTTTGAAATTTTAGAGCAACTTTAAAGTTTGTGGGGTTATTCTTTTTTCCCATTTTTATTATTAATATTTTTTTTCGATCATTTTTATTACATTAAATGCAAGACATAAAGAAAATGTTCAGGAGTCAATATATTTTTCTTTATTTTTGTTTCGTTTGTTATTTCAGCATGCAATATTTATTTTCAACTTCAGTGAACGTATGTTTTGCATTGCTTTTTATATTTTGACCAAAATAAAAACAGTATTAAAGAGAAAAAACATTATTTTAGTACAATAGTTCTATATAAAAATAGGGCATTTTGCATTTTTAGGACATTTTTTGTATTTTCAGGGGAATTTTTCAAGTTATTAAGGGTATTTTCAGATCATCAAAATCAAGACTCTAGTGAACACTGTTTCTTACTTTCAAACTCCTAATGAGTGTTAAGCAAATCATTCGCTTAATTACAACTGTTGAATGTTTGTCTCATTTGTGTTATATCAGCCTATTTTCAGACCAAATCTCATTAAAATCTACCCAGTAGTTTTGGATTTAGTCGACTTACTCTAAAAATTATTTAGATTTTATACAAAAGCACATGTATACTGAAAAACTTAGTATACCCTTTGTTAATAAAATAGGCGTCTAAAGATCACGTGATTTCGCTGCTCTCTACACTCCCCCTCTCCGTTACCATGATCACGGTAAATCTTGCTTTTTTTTCCTCCATGAACGTATTCAATAAGAAGCTGAAATGAACTTGTGTAGAGAAAAACAAAATTTGTTGAAACCAGGGTAAGTGAGGGGGAAAACGTGCAGAGTGGAGAAATCCTTAAGGCTTTTATTAATAAAAAGTATAGGAAGTTTTTTCTTATCCTTGAGACGGCTATCTATTAATAAATAGTAAAGCAAGCAAGAGGCATTATATAAGTAGTTCAACGCAAATCTGATATTTAATTTTAGGTGCATTAAAATAACTTACCCCCTATCCACCGAAATCGTTCGTTGTAATTGATATCTTCACTTCGCTTCTGCTTCAATGCTAAATAAATAAAATATAAACATAAATTGATTTGTTTTTCATTTTGTTTGAAACAAATTATGAATTACTTTAGATATAAACAATCAAAATAATATTGTTCCCGAGTTGCTTTTGATTAAGGATTGTATCTTCACCTTGTAGTGTTTGACCGCTTTGGCAGGTGCTCTTTAATTAATTAAAAAATTAATTTATTAATAAATTAATTTATTAGTAAATTCATTAATTAAAAAATTAATTTATTAAAAAATTAATTTATCAATAACATTTGAAAATTAATCCATGTCAGGAGTATATTCAGAAAGGGATTAAAGACCCGCAGTCTATTTCTGAAATAATTTTCATAAATTCTCCGATCTGTTCCATTTGTATAAATGAGTCAGAAATAATGCAGTTGTCTGTTGTTGCCCGATCGTTTCGGAACACGTAATTAACATCAATAAAATTCAAATAACATCAATAAACGCAAATAATATCTATAATACACGACAGATAATTTCAATGGAAAAAAGCATTTCTTAATTTCAGAAACTGTTCAACAAAAAAAAGTTTTTTATTGAAATTATATAATTGCATTTTGAAAAACAATGAAGGAAAAAGAATTCGGAGAAATTGAAATGATTTTGAAAATTAAGTAAATAAAAATGTGGTAGGCAAAAGACGTGCCACAATTTTTCAGTTCATAAAAATTTATTTTATTTTTTCAGCGCAAAAACTCGACAATCCTCAAATTCTCAGATTCAAAGACTTCTTACCGATTAAATTACTCGCTCATTTATAGATTCATTTTCTTTTTTCCATTGGTCTTTTCTTCTTTATTCATTCGCAATATCAAAATTTATTTTAAAAAAATGGTTTCCATAACAACGTGAAACTATAACCTTATATTTAAAATCAAAAGTAAATAACCTTAGAAAATAAACTGATTAAATAAACTGAAAGTAAACTGACTAAGATGAAAATATAATAATAAACTGACTAAGATGAAAATAAACTGAAAAAACACGTGAATATATCAAGAAAACGACCGACCGACCGACCGACCGAAACGAGTTTTCAGAAGAAGAAAAAATAATACGAAAGAAGTTTAAATACCTTAAATCTCTTTAAAAATTGAAGTTAGAATTTTTTTTTGTCAAAAAATATATTTAATTAAATTAAAGAGTATAACAGGTGTTCAGGTAAATAGGCATCCAATTTTGGGTTTACGACTACTAATGTTTAACTACGTAGCCTAGTAATTTTGAATCCAATCCAGAAGACAAAGAAACGGTTGAATCAAGTACTGGATGAAATTTGCCTTCGTGGTGGAACTAACCAGCGTTTGCGTTACATGGAGAGGAAGACAACGAGAATCTCCAGCGGTTAGCCTGACGGTAAGGGGACTCTAACTCGTGATTCGTCAACGACTGAGGATAGTTTAAGGCAGCACTGTGATCGGTGCGAGCCGGGTGTGGAATTCGTATCAACCAGCCATCGCTGGGATTAGAACCTGGTTCATCTCATTGAAAGGCGAATGCTCAATCTTCTCAGCCATCTTAGCTCACCATACCATTATTGAAGCAAATTATGATTGATTTATATAGATAAGATATAATTTCTCCGCCCCTGCTCTAAAATTGGGTAATTGGGAATAAGTTTCAGCTTAGGGACCAGGCAGTCCTTTAGTGGCATTAGGACTGCAGACGATTTTCTTTCTTATAAATATTTTAAAGATTACATAAGTGATAGCTCTCATAAAAAAAAGTTTTCTTCTCGTTCTTTAATATTTAATTACTTTTTATTCGTTACATCAGATAAACTCAATGAACAGCATGAGCATGACAGCATTGGCGGATTACGTAACAAAATTTGCATTTCTAAAGTTTTTGCGAATCCAAGAATTAATTTCATTTATAGTATATGATTTCGAACATTTTTCGTATGGGCTCTGTGCGCCATAGTCGCGACACTCATTTTTTATAGTCATGATTTTAAAACGTGAATCTATAAAGCATAATAATTTAAAATCATTTGTAACAGAAATAAAAAAAAGTTATGTATAAAAAGGCGAAATTAATATAGAAATAGTACTGATTCGCATGGGAGAAATGCAAAAAATTGTCTAACTCTTATTGAAGCCAATGATGATTGATTAAATTTGTCATTAGGTAATGCTTTAACTACAAAATAGCTATTTTAAATCGCAAAATTAATGGATAAAAGGTACTTATTCTTCAAGGAGCATCAGGAAAAATCGTCGTACTATTATTGACTACAATCAGGCTTAATTAATTTTATTAAAGTGTACAAAATGAAAAAAAAATTATCTGTGTACCTTAATTAATAGTGTGTAGTAAAAATAAAAGTTAATGTAAAAATGGTACTAATTCGTTTAAGGGAAACGTTTAAAAATCCAATTATATAGGAGTCAATGATGCTGAATTAATTTTGGTAATAAATACTAATTGAAATAAAAAAATAGACTATAAACTATTAAGCGAAATTAATAGAGAAATGGTATTAAATCCTTTAAGAAAAACGTAAAACAACGCCGTATTATTATTATCATCGCGATTAATGCGATTTTGGTAATAAATAACAATTGAAATTAAAAACAATCTTTGTTAAAAGCAATATTAATGGAGAAATGTTACGAATCCGTTTAAGAGAAGCTTAAAAAATTCATTATTGACGACAATGATGCTTAAATAATTTTAGTAATAAGTACCGACTAAAATAAAAAATGCTATATACTCCAAGTACTAAAAAGCTAAATTAGTAGAGAAATGGAATTAATTCGTTTTGGAGAAATGCAAAATATTGCAATATTATTATAGACGCCAATGATGCTTAATTAATTAAATCCATACTTGTATTATGGTAATTGGTACACTTTTAATGGGTAGCAAAGGTACAAATATGTGTACAATGAATTATATTTGTATTTATATATTTTGCTAATAAAAACCGCACGAATACTGGAAAACTTTAAAATAAGTACTGTGAACAGAGATTTATGCGGTTTCTCTCAAAGGGGATAAGTACCGGGGAAAATTCCCACGACTGTGGCGAATTTTGACTATAATGAGTTGGCTTCGAGCAAAAGCATCATGCCAAATGATTCTGAATACAGTTAATCTTTATTTTGACGGGATGAACTACTGAATAAAGTACTCTTCTACTCTCAATTTGATAACGTAAAGCCACCAAGAAGTACAAAATGCAATTATAAATTTAAAAAAGGGAATTATTTTAGCTATATTAATTGTTTTGGTACAAGTCTACAAGTCTTTCAGTTTTGTGAAGGATTTCGTTCAGTACTGATATATTGATTGCTTTTTTTCCCACCAGGTACGAAGAATGGGTATTCAGCTAGTTTTAAATAAATATACAACAATATGATTAAATGTTTTACTTGAAAACTTTCTTTATTACTTAAAAGTTAGTTTTCTAAAAGAAGTGTTTATTTCCCGTGATAGCAATATGTCATGAACAATGAAGCTATGACATCTTAGTTAATTACAATGAAAAAAGTGCCCTTATATTTAATATTTAAAGAAAATAATGCACACATTGTATTCTGATAATTACCACTTTGGTTTAAAATAACTAAGAATACTTTCATACATTCAAATACGAGCATACTTTCGATTTGAACTGGTTTTATATTCTTCATGCNATGGGTAGCAAAGGTACAAATATGAGTACAATGAATTATATTTGTATATTTTACTAATAAAAACCGCACGAATACAGGAAAACTTTAAAATAAGTACTGTGAACAGAGATTTATGTGATTTCTCTTAAAGGGGATAAGTACCGGAGAAAATTCCCACGACTGTGGCGAATTTTGACTATAATGAGTTGGCTTCGAGCAAAAGCATCATGCCAAATGATTCTGAATACAGTTAATCTTTATTTTGACGGGATGAACTACTAAAGAAAGTACTCTACTACTCTCAATTTGATATCGTAAAGCCACAAAAAAGTACAAAATGCAATTATAAATTTATAAAATTTTAATTATTTTAGCTATATTAATTGTGTTGGTAAAAGTTTTTCAGTTTTGTGAAGGATTTCGTTCAGTGCTGATATATTGATTGCTTTTTTTCCACCACGTACGACAACCAAGTAAAATAAAGTTTTCCAAGTAAAACCAAAAAAATTTTCAAGTAAAACTATGTTTTACTTGAAAACTTTCTTTACTACTTGAAAGTCAGTTTTCTTAAATAAATGTTTAGTTTAAGTGTTAGAACTATGTCTTAAACAATGAAGCTATGACATCTTAGTTAATTACAATGAAAAAAGTGCCCTTATATTTAATATTTAAAGAAAATAATGCACACATTGTATTCTGATAATTACCACTTTGGTTTAAAATAACTAAGAATACTTTCATACATTCAAATACGAGCATACTTTCGATTTGAACTGGTTTTACATTCTTCAAGCTAACATATTGGACTGAGTAAAAAGCGATAGCCATTTTTTAAAAATATTCCAAAATCATGTACTATTTATATAAAGCTGAGTCAATGATATATGTCCCCTTTTGTTCGATGACTTTATTCCATCATTCGGTGAGCTTTATCATTCTTCATCGTAGAAAGGCCTATCTTTATTTGCGAAAAATGAACAGCCTCATCTGAACTTAACGTTATTTCATGCAAACAGTCTTGCAGAATGCGAAATATTTGGAAATCTGACAACACAAGGTCAGGCGAGTAAGGTGGTTAGGGCAACACATCCCATCCAAGTTCCAATAAATTTTGACGAATATTTATTGGAACTTAGTCGTAATCTCATGGTCGAAATGGAACACTACTTTTTTACGATTGACGAGTTCAGTACGTTTCTTCAGCTTCTTTGAAACTGTTCAATTGCCAACACACATCTGAATTGATTGTTTCGTTCATTGGTTGGAGCTCATAAGACACCACCCCTCTTCAATTCCATCACATTGAGAACAAAACCTGCCTGTAATGAAGTTCTGGTTTTGAAGTCGTTGATGGCGAATCTTC